AGAAACCGTAGTCTGGGAGGGTAGAAGTTGAGATGTGGTTGGCTTAGCATCTCTTTGGCAGTGTCTGAGGTTTGACTGTAGGTCACCTGGTAGGTGGGCACGATTTGCCCCTCCTCCTGGAAGATCTCAGCCTCACACTGCCCCAGCAGCTGAACAATTTTCTCTTCATCTGCTTTGTCCAAGTTCCGGGTCAGGGGATTGGACTTCTCTGTGATTGGAACAGCTGTTTCATACCCTGACAACTAGAGAGAAGGGGGCACAAGGGCAGGAACAGGAAGCCTCATGCTTGCTGGGCTGGAGGCGGGAGTGGAAGTAGGCACAGTATCGGGCTTGGATTCACATACTTCACCCACACACACACACATACACACACATGCCATTCACATACCAAGAACTTAGTCTTTATGTGACGTTCTGAGCCCATTAGGGACGATAGGAAAAGGATGTCTATCATGGGGTGTGTGCCTTTGATTCCAGTATTTGCACAGTGGCAGCAGGGGGATCAGGAGTTTAAGGCTATCCTCAGATATGTAGCAGTTTGAGGCCGGCTTGGGCTATTCCCTATCTTAAAAGCCAAAAAAGAAGAGGAGGAAGAGGAAAGGAGCAGAAGACCACGCTTGAAACCAGTCCAAATCAGAACTGTTCTAGGCATCATTGCAGAAGGCTGAAATTGAGAAAGGGCCTCACCTCCCATTCGCCAGGCTCAGGGGTCTCAATCACATGCTGATACCGTTTCGTGCCTGGCATGGCCCTGTACTGCAGACACTCCGTCCTTCCTGCCTCTGCAGTCACACAAACCTTTCTGGTGACAATAGCTTTGCTTCCAGCTGGCAGGGTCTTATCTGAGCCGTGGAGATGATTAACCTGCGGGCTCTGTGTCTCTGAGCACCACCTCTGCACTCCTTTCTTCAACACCCGCTCCTGTAACTAGTTCCCAGCCCTCCGCGGGAGCTCCCGAGGGTCCTCTTTGCACACCCTCTGTCTTGCCAGCCTCTGCTTTGCTCTTGAAGAAGAGGACCAGAAGGGCATTGTGCTTGCCCTTCAGACACAGGACCCTCTGGAAGGCTGGGAGCCTGGATGGGCAGAACAACACCCAGGTCAGAGCAAAGAGAACTCTGGGGCACAAATACCTCTGAAGGCCAGAGATCGGGGTCAGTAGAAGTCAGAGGACCAGGGCCATGGCTTGGTCACATGTCAGCATGCAGCCTTTCTCTGCCCCACTGGCCCATTTTATCCTCTCCTTGCAGAAAGAAAAGCAACAGAGGCTGCTGGGCCCCAGGTGTACATGCACTGAACTGGATATCACAGAGGAAAACTCACGGAAATAGAAATACTGTAAGAAGAATGAAAACCAAAGAACCTGCCCTAAATACAGCCAGTCTCTTTCCCCCAAATGGTAGGCATCCCCGGATACGTGGACACTTAGGGTCATTGCTGACAGCCTTGTGTTTAGATGGGCTCAGAGGAGTGGTCAGTTGTTTAGTATTACACAGATTCCACACTCAGCTAAACTATGAAATAATTTAAGGACTTACATGCTTCCTGAATGAATTTTGCAACAACTAGCAAGTTGGCCCAAAGGAACAGCACTTCATACACTAGCAGAGGCTTTTAAAGGCCTTGGTCCGGCATTGTCACATTTGATAGTCTAAGCTCTGTTCCAGAATTCTATGCTTTACAGGTGGGAAACCTGAGGCGCAGGTTAATGGATTTCTCTAAAAATGAATGAATTACTCTCTCTCTCTCTCTCTCTCTCTCTCTCTCTCTCTCACACACACACACACACACACACACACACGAGAGAGAGAGAGAGAGAGAGACAGACAGACAGAGACAGAGATAGAGAGAGAGAGGTCTGTTTTTTAATTATTCCTATATGCCCAGAATTTTTTTAGGTCATCTCCAGCTCTTCTAAAGGAAGGCACACTGAAGATGCTCAGTAAATATTTGCTGAAAAAATGAAAGAATGAATGAGAAAGCGAATGGAATCCAATCAGATCATGAATGGGAAAGAGACTTAAAGGCTGATGCAGTCTCCAAGAGATTGTTAAAACAATTATCATCTACACCAATCTGTCTCCTCTCCTCTCAGCCCCCTCCTGCTTTCGGAGATGGACTGCCTCCTCTCAACTTGGCTAATTTCATGCCGGGAAGGAGGGGCTCTTTCAGGTGCCCTAGACCCTCGCATCTGCACCTGTCCGGGTACCCCAGTCAGTTCATCTTCTAGAGCAGGCCGCCATTGGGAGGGTCGTGGGAGGAGCCCCGAGAGAACTAGGCTGGCGGGGTAGGTAATGGGGGGGAGGGGGCAGGATGACGGCGACGAGAACCCTAGCGGGGCGGGGCAGGTCCTTGCGTCCCAGCCGGGCTGCAGCGGAGCGCGCGGGGCCAGCTCTGCAGAAGGAGGCGGCTGGCTGGCCCGGACGGTCACATCCCGCTGCAGGGGACCAGCCTCGGCCGCCGCACTGTCCTCTGCACCAGGGACGCAGGCCAGCTGCCAGGCCTCGCCGGCAACGCCCCTTGCTCCGAGACAGACTACGCGCGGCCCTCGGGAACGCTGGGGGCCCTGCAGACTCGCGGCCCGCGGCCACTCCGCCTCTGCCCTCTCTGCCCGCAGCTCGGCCGGCGCTGCCCGCCTAGGCGGGCCCGCGTCGGGATGGGGTAGGGCCAGCGCCAGTCCGGCGATGGGCCGCCCCCTGGGCACCGAACAACCCCCCGAGGCCTGACCGACCACGAGGACCCGGCAGGTGGGTGTGGGCTGATCCGACTGCGCGGGTGGGGGCTGGGGTGGGCACCAGGGTTATGCGAAGGCGGGAAAGGCTCGGGGGAAATGGGCTATGGGCCGTGGGAAGCCTGGGAGAGCTGCTGCATCCCGCTTGCGTTCTGGGCAGCTACTGACCCCCACTACTCCTGCCTCTTCCAGGATCCCCGCCTGGATGTTAAGCGGATGCCTCCGGGCCCCTCGGTGAACTCGGTGGAAACCATGGCTTCTTTGATGCCTCTTTCCCCATATCTGAGTCCCACTGTCCTCCTGCTGGTCAGCTGTGACCTGGGCTTTGTGTGAGCAGGTGAGTGAAGAGGATGCCCGCCGTGGGGGTCCGTCAGAACTAGTGTGGAAGTGAAACCTCTTAACCTGTCAACACCCTGGCACCCCCAGACCGACCTCCCTCTCCTGTGAATGTGACGGTCACTCACCTCAGAGCCAACTCGGCCACTGTGTCCTGGGATGTCCCAGAAGGCAACATCGTCATTGGCTACTCCATTTCCCAGCAAGTAGGAATCACCCTGTTTCCCCAACCTGTGCCCTTGGGTCTCTGAACACCCCTGCACATTACTCCTTTGGAGTGCTTGGATGTTACAGAATCCTGAGTTAAGCCTCATGGTCAGGGACCGGGGCTAGGTTGTTCTCCTTTCTCTACATCTTCTTGCAGCGACAGAAAGGCCCTTTGGGCAGCGTGTAATCAGGGAGGTGAACACCACCACTAGGGCCTGTGCTCTTTGGGCCCTGACTGAAGACAGTGACTACACCGTGCAGGTCAGGAGCATCCGCCTCAGGGGAGAGAGTCCTCCTGGGCCCCGTGTGCACTTCCGTACTCTCAAGGGTTCTGACAGGATGCCCTCCAACAGCTCCAGCCCAGGCGAGGGTCTGTGTTAGAAGAGTCTCCAGCTTTTGAACCGGGTTTTAACCTCTCATTGACTTGCTTAAAGCTAACAACATTCTAGCTCAGATAAATAGAAAGACGATATAATTTGTTCTACTGCCAGGGACGGAAAACAAAACAGGTGGACAGGGGACCAGCTACAGAGACACTGCTAATGAATCCTTTGGGGGGGGGGGGCTTCCTGCTTCCTTTCACCCAAGCTCACATCACACCTGCCACGGCCTGCATGAGCAATTTCTGTGATCACCCTGGTATCTAAACATTGCCCACCATGGGCTTCTTCCTGAGAAGGGCGATGATGGGTCCCGCTGACTCTAACCCCCAGCATCTCCCTTCTGTACATAACAGAGCTGTCCAGTGGGTCCTCTGTAACCCAGAGGATGGTTCTCTCCTTAGGAGACATCACAGTGAAGGGTCTGGATGGAGAGCGGCCATTGCAGACCGGGGAAGTGGTCATCATTGTAGTGGTGTTGCTCATGTGGGCTGGTGAGTACCGGATGGGGAGCCAGGGACTTGGGACCATGATAGTGGGAAGTGGTGAAGGTTACCCGTCAGGAGAAAAAGGAGAGAAAAGGAGTGGGGGGGGAGGGGAATGGCTGGTGGAGGGAGGTAATCAGGACAAGTTTGGGGAGAAAGAGAGAAGGCTATTGCAAGGCCAGGGATGACGGTTGTATGGGCCCCAGGGATTCCAGGATTTTCTAGAAGTCGTGCAGCTGTTACAGCCTCAAGGCTGTGAATGAGAGGTCAAGATCAAGGCTCAGATGGTTTGTTGTGTTTCAGCTGTGATCGGGCTATTCTGCCGTCAGTATGACATCATCAAGGACAACGACTCCAACAACAACCCCAAGGAGAAGGGGAAGGGTCCTGAACAGAGTCCTCAGGGAAGGCCAGTGGGGACAAGACAGGTGACGTGGGGACCAGTGAGTGTGAGAAGGGTGATCTGGGTGCCCAGGAGTATTCAGTGAAAAGCAGAACAGGCAGCGAAGGGGGGTGGGGCGGGAATGGGATGTCTGGGATGAAGGAGTCCAGAAGGTGGGAGCAGCACCTTTACCTGTCTGAAATTTGAGATTTGGGTACTCTTCTCTCATAGAAAACGTCTCCTTCTATCAACACCATCGACGTTTGAGTGAACTGAGTGACTGAAGAACCAGAACCAGAGAGAGATGCACTGATAATGGGGGGTGGGGTCAGGGAAGCCTAAGTTGGTGATCTCTCTGAGACTCCCACAAGGCTGTGCACTCCCAGAATCCCAGGCTGGTACCCATCCTCTTTCCACTGTGAGCAGGGCCAGAAGGTAGGTCTGTTAGAATCTGTACCCCTGGACCTGGGAGTGGATATCAAATGGAACATCTCCTATCTCCCAGGTCCAGGTGAGTCATTTATTCGACCCTATCCCACTAGGTCCCAAATGGGGCCCCATCTCACCTGCATCAGGACCATTGGCATCCACTAGCTGCCCATACAGCTTGCCTCTGGGCCTCAGAGAGAGCTGTTTATGTCTGTATTGCCCTCTTCCACGGAGGAAGAGGAAGCAAGCATCTGGGTCTCGAGGCAGATGCCACACTGCACTACTCCAATGTCTTCCACGGAGACTCAGGTGCTCCCCCCTCACCTGGCAGCCCCCCCCCCCCCGCTGCTGGTGATCTCACCCCTGGGACATTTTTCCAATAAAGGTTCTTGGACAAACTGGAACTGACTGTATGGTCTGCTGAAGGCATCTCTACACCTTCTCAGCTCTCCAAGGGCCCCTCACGCCACCACCAACTTAAAGGAACAGACCCATTATAGGATGTTTGTGTCCGTGTTTTCGTCTAAGACGGGTGGAGAAAAGACAAGGAAAGGGTGCAGAATCTAGAAGCCTCCTTTCTTTGGCTTTGTTGAAATGTAAGGGAGGGGTGCAATGAGAAGACACAGAAGTTTTTGCACCAATGGAAACCAGGCCATGTCACCATTAAAGGGCCAGTAGATTTTCTTTCTTTTATCTTTGTCCAGGACCTTGTGCATACCAGGCAAATGCTCTACCACTGGGTTACATAACCGACCCCCTCCCCATTCTTTCAACTCCACCATTCCCTCTGGGAAAATGGTCAGAAGGACTGAGCAGGGTCATGGGGGGGCTAGCCAAAGAGCAGCTATCACGGCTGTGTCCCTTGGTGCCATGTATCCTCACCCTGTGCATACCAGTGCCTCCTCTCCGTTTTCTCTTTAATCTATGTCTCTGTTCATTTAATGTTAATAATTGTAATCCATAAAGACGTTTATATTTATACTCTGTAACATATCCAAAGCATTCTAGAAATAAAACAAAGGGGTTTGGGTGCCCTTATAGAAAAAAATTATAATCTGGGTTCTGGGACCTATTTGTGTTATCTGTGAAAAATAGGAACTGCCCTCTACTCGTTCTTAATTTTTCAAGAGGGAGGTAGTGGTGGGGAGAGAAATATTCGTTGCCATTGGCAACCACTGTGCATGCAAGGTTTTGGGACCCAGCTTCGGTCTGGAGATCATGTGCTATGCTTTTTGGGGGGTATAAGTCTTGCCAACCTGGGACTGTTTAGAGAGAGAAGGCCTTTTCTGAATTTCAGTCAATCTGTCTGATACGCTGCAAAAAATTAGAACAAAAATTCTTGAGAGCATTCCAATCAAACAAAATAAAGACAATAGTATCTTTTCTTAGTCAAGCCCCAACCCAAGGTGTCACACAGCTCTAAGCTAGGAGGCCAGCAAAGTTCTGTCCGCTGCACTGACCCATAAAGACATCTGGATTTCGGCAAGCAGCCTTGAACTCACCGTTTACCAATGATCAAACAGGGTGCCTTGCCTTTCCCTAGCCAGTGCTACCAAACCCACAGGTTAGAGAAGCTGAACAAAGGGACAACGAGTTGAGAAGACTTGAATCGTCTTACGGGAATTAAAAGGTTATCAGCTCTGGGTTGAATCCGGTTCCACCGTTTATTAGCTGTTTCAACTTTGGCGTGTGACCCCCTCCTGTTGTGTAAAATGGGACTGTACCTCTGCCCACTTCAAACAGGTATATCCTTGAGCATTCACTGGTCCCTATCAGTATTGAGTGGCCTCGCGCAAGTCACAGAACTTTTGGCGGGGAAAGCAGAGGCTGCAGTTCTGCGAACTGGCTTTCGCTCTCCTAGCACCTGCCTTGCCGCTTCTCCAGAGTTTAAGCAACTAAAGCGCACTTGGCCGGTTACAGCAAGGAGAAAAGCTGGGGTTAAAGTGATACAGGATCTAGGGGCGGGGTTGGGGAGGGTGGGGACAGACGAAGACTTGCGGGTGGGGCTTTGCGTTGGGTTTGCATGCAATTACGGGATTGGTCGAGGATAGACTTCGACGACCTCCTCTTATGTGCCCGCCCTAGGATTCACTGCGCTTGCGCACGTTCCGTTTGCAGGGTCGCGAACCCACTAGGTGACCTTATGATGTACGTCGCACTCACGTTGCCTGTGCATCAGTGGCTGGCGCCGTCGCAGCTTGGCGGTTTGTGCATGTAACCGCGGGAGTCCTCTCGGTCAACAGTCAACGGTCAACGGTCATCCGAGACCTGTGTGCGTCCTGCAGTTGAAGCACCTGAGGACCCTGCTGAGCCCTCAGGTGAGGAATCGCATGACTCCCATTCCCCGGCCACCGGACGTTCCAAAAGAAAAAAAGTGGGGTAACATTGTCCAACCCACATGTGATCCCTGTAAGTCCTGGGATTGCCACTTTTTTTCTGATATGTTCAGAACCTGCCCACCCTTTTGCTGGCCACTTCTGTCTAGATTGTGACACTGAGGTCTGAGGTCTTGGGATATATCCAGATACCGTCCTTGGCCAGCGCGCCGTGCATCGCCTTCCATGCTGTCCCTCTCTCTCTCAGGGCACCCTCTGTGGTGGGGTGGAACAGTTTGACTGCTGCCTCCGAAGGAGTATTTACAAGAACAAGTTTGAGCTGACGTATGTGGGACCCAGCCAGGTGAGCAGCTGATGGCCTAGCATGCTGAGACCTCTCCTGGCTCATCTGTCCTTGTAACATTTCCCCCACCTGCTGGCCACAGCCACAGTGTCAAATTTAACCTTCCTCTCTCTGGCAGAGCTATCGTAGGCAACTGAATGTGTCAGGGCAACTTCTGGCAACCCTCCTGCTAGGTGGTTGTTCTAACCCATCGCAAGCAAAGGTTTACACAACCTGTCTCAAGAAATACAGGGATTGGTGCCTGTATCTCCCCAGTGTGAAGCTGTTCTCAGCGCCGCCCACTAGAGTTGTGGACGTGTATGATCACAGGCGAACTGTAGTGCGCAGGACTCTGTTGTCCCAGAGACAGGCGTCTCACTCTCCCACTTCCCTTCCCTCTCTCTTATTACCAGTTTGTTCCTGGATCTTTCCAGTCTCTCCAGAAACGCTATCCTTTCTCTACTGTGTTAGATCTGTTAAGGACTGAGAGTACAAAGGTAGTTTATCTGTAAGACATCGTACCAGGGCCAGAGATACGGCTCTTACTATTCTTACAGAGAACACAAGTTCAGTTCCCAGCGCCATGTTAGTGTCTCACAATCACTGGGTCTTCAGCCTTGGGGATCAACACCCTCTTCCGACATCCGGCACCTGCACTCACCTTTGTGCACACCCACACATGTAATTCAAATTCTTTGTAAAAAAGACATTGTGCTCTGGTATGTGGCCAGTGAGCTTGAGGCCAGCCTGATCTATATAGCAAGTTCCAGGCCAACCAGGGCTACATGTCTCAAAAAAGAAAAAAAGTAGAAGAGGAAGAAAAAGAAAGAAAATCTTAGCATTTAGGAGGATGGCCAGTTGGAGGTCATCTTAGGCACATTATGATATAATAACGATAATAATAGGTTCATAATTATATAACAGTAATGATGATATAGTATTGTCTTCATAGGTAAGGAGCTTTGTACTAAGAAGTGCGGGAACAAAGAGTGATTAGTGTTACCGAGTAGAGCTCTCAGAATCGAATGGCCTTGGACAGCCCAGGCCATGGGGAAGTATTTCCTAGGTAGCAAACCCCTGTGTGGGTGCAAGTGTTGTCCTTAGCAACCGCATCCCAGGCCGAGGGAGAAACAAGGTATCCTGGAGTTGCATGAGGGACCAGAGCACCTTCACTCTTCTCCTGCTCTGGGAAAGCCTGATGGGTTGGACTGGTCCCTTCCCGGGTGATAGTGAAGAACCTGTCTTCAGGGACCAGGGTGGTGCTCAAGTCCCACTATGGCTATGAGGTAGAAGAGGTGAAGATCCTGGGGAAGGAACGGTACTTGGTGGCTCACACATCGGACACGCTGCTGCTCAGAGACTTGAACACCAATCGCCTCAGTGAGGTAGGAACCGGGAGAGGAAGGGTGGGTAATGGGATGTCTTGGCTTGCTAATTCTGAAGATGCGGGCCCCAAGAAGTAGGATTCCCCATAGGATACCATTCTGATATTATTTCCTAGAATATAAACTTCCACAGTCAGACTGGTTTCTCTTGGAAATATGAGGATCAGGGCAAGAGTCTGACACAGCGCACCTTTTGTGTAACGTCAAAACCTCCCTGAATACCATCTCTCTTCCTTGCCACTGACATCCTCCAGCCTTGTCTTGGGTGATTGTCTACATTGTCTATGATGTTTTCTCCTCACTTTGCAGATAGCCTGGCAGGGATCTGGTGGCAATGAGAAATATTTCTTTGAAAATGAGAATGTGAGTAGCCGCGATTCCCTGCCCCCATTTCAGTAAGCAGGAGCTTCTAGTCAGAGGGGCGAGAGGCGAGGGATGGGAAGACTGCAGGTAAAGGGTGGGGATGAAACAGGAAAAGACAGGGAGAGGTCACCCTGAACTACAGTGCCCCTTCCCCCACTTCTCTCCACACCGCCTTCATTCTTCCCCAGGTGTGCATGATCTTCAGTGCTGGAGAGCTTACCCTGGTGGAATATGGGAGTAATGACTCCTTGGGTTCTGTACACACTGAATTCATGAACCCTCACCTCATCAGGTAACTGAACCCTGAATATCCAGAATGGGACTTCTAAAGTGTATGTCCCCAGATCAGGCTAAAAATGTTGTCCCATGTGCTATTTCAGAACCCTCCAGAAGACCCTAGCTAAGCCCATTTTACCTTACCTTGTTGTTTCATGTTTCAGCATCCGTATCAACAAGAGGTGCCAGCGAGGAATGGAAGATAATAAGAAACTGGCTTATCTTGTTGATATTAAGACTATTGCTATAGGTAAGATGCTTTTATAACTTTAATACTGACACCGATACCTGCATTGCACTTGTGTATCATGAGCATATTCGGTGATGAACCTGAAAGGCACTAGGTAAGTATGTAACCTCATATTTACAGTGTTAGAGCAAATGTTTAAGTCCCTGTGGGGATGCCTTTATGAAGTGTCTGGCTATGGATACATTCATGCTCAGGCCTGTCAGAAGGCCTGTCCATAGAATTACCATGTTCTCTCATCATATATCTTATGGACAGCAAGTTGTGAACAGTAGAGAAGAATTATCCGCAAATTTAAGGATTTTCCTGTTTAGACATCATCAAATCCTAAACTCTTTAGAACTGGAAAGACTGTATTTTATATTTATGTTATTAGTAACCCTTATTATTAGTAACTAGTAACAATAGAAATGTAATCTGCATTTCACAATCTCCACTTTATGATTTCTGTCACCAAATGTTCCAAGCATGGAAGGAAGAACTAAGACTAGCTTAGGATCGTGCAGAAGGTGTAGAGACGAGCATGCCACATAGTGTGTCTGTAAGGATGGGACTGGCGTCAGCTACCCTGTCCGTACTTACTGCTCTGTGAGCTTACCAAAGTTACTTCGTCTTTCTTAATGTCTTAACCCACACAGTGAACGAAGACAGCACCTATGTCAGAGGGAAGCACTCATCCTTCCCTGCCACATAATCGTTAATAAAGTCCAGCTGCTGAGAGTCGTGACCTATTGTTAATACTTGCTTATCCACGCCTAGTGCTATTAAATCAGAACTTTTTGTTGCATTTACATTTAGTTTTTTACCTCATCTCTTACTCATGAGCATTTAGAGAGTGGTTTTTTGTTTGTTTGTTTGTTTGTTTTGGGTTTTTTTTTCATTGTTTGGTTTGGTTTTATTTTATTTGAGACAGGGTTTCTCTGTGTAACCCAGGCTGGCCTGGAACTCACTCTGTAGCCCAGGCTGGCCTCGAAATCAGAGATCCACCTGCCTCTGCCTCCCATGTGCTGGGACGAAAGGTGTGTGCTGCCACAGCCTGCTGAGTATTAATTTTTTAAAGGTTTATTTTAGTTGAATGGATATTTTGCCTGCACGTATGGCTGTGTACCATGTGCATACCTTATGCCTTTGGAGGCCAAAAGAGGGCAGTGGGATCCCTAGAACTTGGTGGGTGTGAGCTGCTATGTGGGTGCTGGGGATTGAACCTGGGTCCTCTGGAAGAACAGTTAGTACTTTTAACCACTGAGCCATTTCTTCAACCCCTAGTTGTTTGGGGGGTTTCTTGTTTGGTGTGGTTTTAATCACATTACTGCTACTTGCTGAGGTCCATGCTTAGAGCAGAATTGCTGAATCATAGGAGCAGCTGTGCCTTCAGCCTGACTAAGTGTCTCCCATTGCTCTCCAAAGAGGACGATCAATGTCCGTTCCTCTCCCAGTCAGAGTTCTTATTCTTCCACGTCCTCTCCAGGACTTGAAATGCGTGGTGTGTGTGCAATGCCGTTTCACTTACTTATTGTTCACTTGGATTTCTCTTCTGTGACTTCCAGTTTCTCATCCCTTATGCATTGTGAAAGTCAAGTGGCCTCTTTGTTAGAGATGTGAAATTCTGTATATAACCTCTGATGGTTACTTACATTGTAGTTTTTTTCTCAGTATGTGTGGCTTGAGTTTTCTCTCTTTTAGGTATCTTTAGTATTGAGACATTTAAAATTTTATTGTAGTTATTTATGTAATGGAACCGGTTGGGGGAAGCATTATGCCATGGCACTCAAGTAGAAGTCAAAAGACAACCTGAGAAGCCGGGCAGTGGTGACACACACCTTTAATCCCAGAACTCAGGAGGCAGAGGCAGGTGGATCTCTGTGAATTCAAGACCAGCCTAGTCTACAGAGCAAGTTCCAAAGGTACACAGAGAGACTCTGTCTTGAAAAAAGAAAAGACACTCTGAGGCGGTAGATCCCTCCTTTCCACTGTGTGGGTCTAGAGGATCAGACTCAGGCCCTGTAGCACACACCTTTAAGTATTAATTGAAGGGCCAATGGGATGACTCAGCCTCTAAAGATACTGGTCCAAGCCTGATGACTCAGCTTTAGTCCCTCAGGAGAAGACCAACTCCTGCAAGTTGTCTTCTGACTTCCACGTGTGCTCCTTACAAAATAGAAACAAAGAACTAAAAATGTAATTAACAAATTCTTAGTTTAAAAAATTGAGTCTAGGGATATAGTTGAGTGGCAGAGTGCAGGGGAGCCCTGTGTTCAATCACCAGTGCTGCCAAAATAATAGTAATAGTAATTGCTGGTTTTTGAGGTCTCATTTAAAAACTTTTCCCCATATTCCCTCCTATATTTTAACATTCTTAAGTTTTGATTTCCATCTGGAATTTATTTTTGTATGTGATGTGGGTAGAGTTTTAACTTTATTTTTTCCATCTGTGTAACCATTTACTGAAAGCCCAATAATTTGTTATACCATCCCTGTCATAAGTCAAGCTTTCGTATACATATGGGCCTCTTCTTAAGATAGTTTCCTATTTCATGAATATTACATTTCACATCTGAGCTCAGAAACGCAGGTATCTGCACTGGGAATGATATGTAGGCCAGGAAGCCTAATTCTCGTGGCGGTGATAACTCAGACCTCAGACCCGTCCATTCGCTCACGCCATGAATTTTACATATTTTTCAATATGTGTAAAATGATAGTCGGTTCTCTGAGTCACCAGTCCCTTTTAATGTAATTTATATATAATTTCAGGGTCCCTATGTGGTCCTGGAGGCTCTAGCAGACTTGGCTTGGTTTGGCTTTGGTTGCTGTGTTGTTTTTCAGTGTTTGAAGGCAGGGTCTCATGTTGCCCTGACTGGCTTTGAATTTCTGGTCCTCTTGTCTCAGACCCCTGGGTACTGGGATTATAGTCAGTATGATATGAGTCACCATGTCTACTGTCATAATTTCTGTCTCCAGGTTATCAGTCTGTGTGCCGGTTGGTCCCATTGGTTATGCTCCTGCCTCAACTTTTTGCCTTGTGCTTGAGCTCTGGGTGTGAGCCACTGAGCTTCACTGAGTGAGCTCTCCTCAGGGCTTCCTTTTTTGTCGCCTCACTTGTGCATCCACTGTTCTGGTGACTCCGCGCAGCCAGGGTGACATCACCAGGTCATTTCATTCCTCAGCTCTCTCTGGTACTCAGTAACACGGTCACCCTCTTTCACTGTCTTTTCAAGACAGGCTCCAACGAGGCAGCTGGAACTGGCCTACACAGAAGGGCCTGGCCTCAAACCCCCACTCTTTCTGAGGGCTGGGTTATAGCAGTGTACCACCATTTCTCCATGAGATCTTCTATCTAGTTGCCTATAAAGCCAAGTAAAACATTTATAATTCTAGACAAGTTTATTGACAGTATTTCTCTGTGTGGCCTTAGCTGTTCCTGACTGTGCTTGAACTCTCTCAGTAAACCAGGCTGGCCTCAAACTCACAGAGATCCATCAGCCTCTGCCTCCTGTGTGTTGGGATTAAAGGTGTGTGCCACCACACTTGGCAAGACCCAGTTTTTTAAGCATCTTAGAAAAATCGTGCAATATTGGTCATTTGTGGTCCCCATTGATACCTCTGGACTGATAAAATGTTCCTAAATCCCAACATGATTATAAAGCCAGCATTCTAGAGACCAAATGCAGCCCTCTACATGGTGGGGCTTGCTCTTCTTACCCTGTCTTCTTTGCAGTGGATCTTATTGGTGGTTACATTATTGGTACTATCAGTCATGAGAGCTGTGTGGATTGACTGGAACTTAATGAGACTGGGCACAAGCTTCTCTTCAGGGATCGGAAACTTTGTGTGAGAGGGGTTACTAGGGTTTTAGACCTGGGCTGGTCCACAAGCTGTTACCAGGGATTGTGGGGGTGATGGAGGAAGGTCATTGGTTAAATAAAAAGAAACTGCTTGGCCCTCATTGGTTAGAAGATAGGTGGGAGGAGTAAACAGAACAGAACGCTGGGAGGAAGAGGAAGTGAGCTCAGACTCCCAGCTCTCCTCTCGGGAGCAGAGGCCTCAGAGAGACGCCATGCTCCCAGCTCCCAGGCAGACGCACGTGATGAAGCTCCGACCCAGGATGGACATAGGCTAGAATCTTCCCAGTAAGTGCACCTAGGGGCGCTACACAGATGATTAGAAATGGGCTAAATTAATATGTGAGAATTAGCCTAGAAGTGGCTAGATAGAAATGGGCCAAGCAGTGATTAAATGAATACAGTTTGTGTGTTGTTATTTCGGGCATAAGCTAGCCAGGCAGCCGGGGTGCTGGGGACGCAGCCCCGCCACCCTTATTACTACATGGGGGCAATGCAGGACATAAGTTCTTGGTTCCATATGCCATTAGCATAGCAAAGTGGACCAAGGATAGCCTATACGCTGTCAGAACCTGACCTAGGGACCCTGACAGAGACCGTTTACAGGCTGCGTCCTCGTGAAGCTGCTTCCCCTCCTCAGGTCCAGCTGCCCTTTGCCCCATCCCACTGCCGCAGTGTGCTTCAGCCACACTTAGCTGAAGGCATGGACACTGACTCGAGCAGTCTCTTGTCAGGGTGGCATCTCCAAAGAGGTTCACTTTTCTTGTGATGCTTCATTCCAGTGAGAGCCTCACTGCAGACTGTCAGTTCACTTAGTTTGTTTGTAGCCCTACCTGCTAATCTGGCCCAGGGTTACTCTCTAGTCTGACCTTCACCTGACTATACCTTGAATTAGATCGTGGTTGTTTGGTCATCTCATACTTGACCAGTCAGGATATACCAACTTAGCACAAACTCCAAGGGCTGGCAACTCAACACATAACTGACTGGTGGATCATTTCACTGTGGGGGAAAGGGACAGAACCAAATGTCATCAGTGCACGCCTCCTAATTGTGCTGTCTCCCTCTCCAGTTGCATCTATATGATATTGAAAGCTGCCCCAAGACAATGATCCTCAACTTCTGCTCCTACGTGCAGTGGGTTCCCGGGAGCGATGTGCTGGTAGCCCAGAACCGAAACAGCTTGTGTGTGTGGTACAACATTGAGGCACCCGAGAGAGTCACCATGTCCTCTATCAGGGTACGTTGGTGCCAGGAGGCCCAGGTGTGTCGCTCTAACTCATTAGCGCTCCAAGGAGAAGTATGTGGAGACCGTGCAGTGTTCTCAACCCACCACCCACAATCACTATGATAAAACTGGCAAGCCAAACTTTTACCCCCTCCCCATACTGGCATGGCCTCCAGAATTATCCTTGCTTGCGTTTCCTGACCTTGTGTTGCATTCCTAGAGATGAGGCCACATTCCAGTGGCCCTGGGACTATATAAAGTCACCATATGGCATTCTTTGCAGTCTAGAAGACAGACCCCAGTAGGAGGGATGGTTCCATGCCATCATCCTTGTCCTTGTTCTTGGCCATTCAAAATCCCTCCTTTTTCAAATTACACATAAAACACTCTTTACTGTCCCATCGCAACACCACACACCACACACACACACACACACACACACACACACACACACATCCTCCACATACATACCACACACACACACACATCCTCCACATACATACCACACACACACACCACACACCACATACCACACACACACACCATACAACAATACACCACACACACATACACACACACCCCCACACATCCCACACATACATCACACACACACACACATCCTCCACATACATATCACACACACACACCACACACACACACACCACACACACACCACACACACACACCACACACCATATACCACACACACACATCCTCCACATACATACCACACACACACCACACACCACACACACACACCACACACACACACACACCACACACACACACCACACACACACACCACACACACACATACACACACACCACACACTTACCACACACTCATATGCAAGCCCTTGAAGGCTCTCAAGTTAGCCACCATGTAACTTTCTCTCTCCCCACAAATAATATAGGACCTTGCAAGGCTTTGGCTTTGGTTACCTCTCTTTTTTCTTTGTTGAACAATATTTTCATTCTAACCTTTAAATTTTTAAATTACATTTATTTATTTTGTGTATGTGTGTATGCATCTATGGAGGCCAGAGGACAACTTGTGGGAGTCTGCTCTTCCCACCATGCGGGTCCCAGGAGTGAATGCAGGCCAACAGGCACCTCTACCTGTCGAACCTTCTCTCTGGTTCTTAGTGCTAATCTTCGTTGTTGCTGCTGCTGCTGTGCTGGAATCAAACCCAGGCTTCAAGCACACTGCACAAGTATTTACCACTGCGCTTCCAGGAGTAGTAAAGGGTTCCTTTAGTTTTGATGGGTTTTTGTTTTTCTTTCTTTCTTTTTTGTGTGGGGTTTTTTGTTGTTTGGTTTGGTTTGGTTTTGTTTTTTGAGGGATTTTTTTAAAAAAAAATTATTTATTTAATTTTTTAAGAGAGAAAACAATCTTTTTTTCATTTTACATGCCAATCCCAGTTCCCACTCCCTCTCCTCCCTCCCATTCCCCTGCCTTTACCTCCTAAGTACTTGAGTGCTGGGATTAAAGATCTGGGCCGCCATGCCTTGCTATAAGATTTTTTTTTAACTCCCAAAATGGGCATCATTCATATTCAATGTCTCATTCTTTCTCTCCTCTCCTTCCTCCCTGAATGACCTGGAACTGGAACTTGTAACCCAGGCTGGCTTCCATGAGTGCTGGTATCACAAACACGGGCCACCACACGTGATTTATGACACTATTACCTTATATGGACAGAACTTAGATTTCCCCACTACCATATTTCTTCCTACTTTTTCTTCTTGCAGTTTTGGTCTCCCCTCAGGAATTAATTTTCTGCCTGGAGAATATCACTTAGAAATCCCTTTGGTGAGGGTCTCTTTAGTGGAAGATTATACTCTCTCAGGTTTTGATGATCTGAAAGTAGCTTTGTTCAGCTTTTGTTCTAAAAACCCTTTGGGACTAAGTACCCAACTTCAAACTGACAGCTAACTTTTCTTAGCTTTTTGTAACATGTTATCCCAATAGATAACATGTGTTGTGCACATGTGTGCAATGCCTGCTGAGGCCAGAAGAGGGCATCAGACTCCTCAGAGCTGGAGGTACTGGCCACTTGCTGTGAGTGCCCATGTGTACTGGGAACCAAGCTTGGGCCCTCTGCCATAGCAGTGTTCTTAATCTCTGAGCTATCTACTCTTGCCCCTTTGGTTGCTCCTAAAACCTACTTTTTTTTTTTTTTTGGATGTTTTGACACTTGACTACAATTTTTGTACATAGTTTTTTTCCTCTGGCCTCAGATTTCGGGGCCCAGGCTGTCCTCCTGCCCTGCCTCTTGAGAGATAGGGACTGTAGTCACGGGCCACCCATCGGGTTAGAGGGTTTGGGGGTTGTTTTTGCAGTGGATGGCTAGCGACTGAACCTGTACATTAGAAATAAATTCTCTGGTACTGAGCTGTACTCCAGCCTTTTTACATGAATTTAAATGATATCCCATGCAGCATATGTTGGGTTTCATGTAGTTCTGAACACACACATCATGCTCAGTCTTGGGAACTTCTCGGCCACTCTCTCTCGGAACGCTGTTACCATTCTCCCAGGAATTCTGACTCAGCATATGCTACGTTTCTTGCTCCATCTTGTTTGCCTTTTCAGCTTCTTCTGTGTCTCCTTCTTCTGCTCCATGAACATTCCAGATAGTATCTTCAGATCTCTCCTTCAGCTCCTTGGCTCACTCTTTTCCTTGTCTGCTGCTTATGCCACAATTGGGGTTTTGCTTCAGAGTTAAATTTGGGCCAGGAACTTCTCCATGTTCAATGTCTCAGGCTTCACGTCCATAAAATTTTATTTCTTTTTCCAGTATGCCCAGCCATTCCAGTTTTTCCTTAGTTAATTTTCCATGTCATTTTTATATCTTCAAATATGTAATATTTAATTTTATTACAATGCATTATCTATAACTGCCATTTTTAATATCTAAAATGCTTAAAGACCTAAAATTATTGTTTACAATTACAATTTATTCTTTCGTACTGGTTGTGTTGTATGTGCGTGTGCTTGCACACATACACCCACATGTTACTCTGAAGGCAGTCTCTACTTGTTTTCCTGCTGAGATGGTTGTTTGCTTCTGTAGCAATCAGAATCCATGGTAAGGCTGTGCTCCGCTTGCTTTGGTGCCCTTTGCTACAGAACGGGCTAGGCTGGGTTTACTCAGAGACTGATTCAGCCCATCCACGTGCTGAAGGCCTGAGGCTCATTGTCGGATACATGCATTTGCCTTCAGAGCAGCACCCCCTTTCCTGCTGCTCAGATTTTAGCTTTTGGCCTTTGCCCTTCTGTCTTTTCTCTTTTTTATTGTTTATTTATTATTATTATTATTATTTTTGGTTTTTTGAGACAGGGTTTCTCTGTAGCTTTGGAGCCTGTCCTGAAACTAGCTCTAGTAGCCCAGGCTGGCCTTGAACTCACAGAGTTCACTGCCTTTGCCTCCCAAGTGCTGGGATTAAAGGCATTGGCCACCACCACCCCGCTAAAAAATGTCATTTTACTCATTTGTTTTGTTTTGGTTGTTTTTTTTTATTTTTTAAAGGGGGATGGGTAGCATAGAGGTGGGGAACATTCTTAGTGATTTTGTCACGTGAACTAAGCAGTGCCGGAAAAGAAAAAGTATGTTCTGGGTTCAGGTTTAAGTTGTAATTTACCTGGAGGACCCCCAAGACTATCTCAGTCTGGGGCCTGGGGAAATGGTTCCATGAATAAGGGTGCTTGCTGCTCAGCCTGATGACCTGAGTTCAGTCTTCAGAGCCCACATGGATGGACACACACATGCTAAATAAATAAACGTGAAAAAGTAATTATATAGATATATATTACAGGGTTTCTCTGTGCAGCCCTGGCTGTCCTGGAACTCACTCTGTAGACCAGGCTGTCCTCAGACTCACAGAGATCCACCTGCCTCTGCCTCCTGAGTGCTGGGGTTAAAGGTGTGTACTACCACTGCCTGACAAAATAATATACTTTAAAAAGAATATCAGTCTAAGAGTTGAGAAGATAACTCATTTGGTAAAGTGCTTGCTGTTCAAGTAGAGGGGCCTGAGTTTGAGCCCCAGAACATACAGCAAGAAAGTGAAGCGTGTTAGTGCACACTTAAATCCCAGAGCTGGAGAGGCAGAGACAGGCAGACCCCTAGGGCTCAGCCCAGCTTACTTGGTAAATTCCAGGGCCAAGCTGAGATCCTGGTTGAAGAAAGAAAGGGTGGAAGCAGCTGAGGAGTGACACCCGAGCGTGTCTCCTGGCCTGCTCACGTGGACAAGTGCAGTCACACACGCACCCACAGTCTGTGCGTGCACACACACCCCTAAGTCTGTTTCCTACTGAAGAACTGGATGCCACTCTTTGTATACTGTGCAGGGTGACGTTGTAGGTCTGGAGCGAGGTGGAGGGAAGACAGAGGTGATGGTGACCGAAGGGGTGATGACTGTGGTCTACACCCTGGACGAGGGCCTGATTGAGTTTGGAACAGTCATCGATGATGGCAACTACACCCGGTGAGAGCTGCTAACAGCCAGTGTGGTGCTGAGCCAGAGTGGGCCTAGCAGATGCCTGCAGTGACCCATAAAACTGTCACAGATCAATGGGGCCCTGGAGTCATGGGAGGGGCCTAGACAAAGGGCGGTGTTTCTGGCCTTTCTTCCCCCCCCCCCCCCTCCTGCTGCCCCAGCAGCACCAGGGTTCCCCTCTGCTCCTCCAGATCCTGCTTCACTCCTGTGATTTCTTCCCTTCCTCTCCAGGGCAACAGCCTTCTTGGAGACCCTGGAGATGACCCCAGAAACAGAGGCAACGTGGAAAACCTTGAGCAAACTGGCCCTGGAGGCAAGGCAGCTCCGCACTGCTGAGAGGTAAGAGCTGTGGAACTGAATGCTGGCCACTAGGAGGCCTGTGGGCTGCTTCTGTCCTGTGTGTGAGCACTGCTTCCCACACACCCCAACATGAGCCCTTCCTGGTGCACTTACTCCAAACACCTTCCTACTCTAGATCAACCCTGTCTCGAAAAACCAAAAAATAAAAATAAAAAAAAATAAAAATAAATAAAAATAGTTTTAAATTCTGTGAATAAGAATGTCGATGTGTGGGTTTGTGCATGTGAGTGCCAGTGCCTGCCAAGGTCAGAAGAGAGTTTTGAACCTCCTGGAGCTGGAGTTCAAGGCGGTTGTGAGCCGCCTTGGTAAAGGTGCTGGAACCAGACTCCAGTCTCTACAAGAGCAGTACACACTCCTGACTGCAGAGCTGTCCCTCTAGCTCTGAGTATGTCCTAATGTTTTAGCTTCTCCTTTGCAAGGTTCTCCTTTAAGTGGTTGTTTCTTGTTTGTATTATTACTGTTTATATATTTAAAGTTTTTACATTTTTAAAATTTAGTTACTTTGAACTGGGTGTGTTTTAGTCACTTTTCGATTACTGTGGCAAAACACCGTGACCAAGGCAGCCTATAAAAGCCGCACAAAATGACCTTACAGTTCCATGATAGGAGCAGTGCGAGCACAGTGGCCTGGACAGCTGAGAGCTCACATCGTGGAACCAGCAAACAGACAGCACTGGAGATGGCAGAAAACTTTTGAAACAGCAAAGCCTCACCTGCAGTGACAAACTTCCTCCAACAAGGCCATACTTCCCAATCCTTCCCAAACAGTTCCACCTCCTGGGGACCAAGTCTTCAGACATCTGAGCCAGTGGGAGGCAGTCCCATCCACACTGCCACAATGTGTCTATGTGAGGGTCCATGTGTGGGTATGTCCACATGAATGATGGTCCCTGCAGAGGCCAGAGGTGTAGGATCCCCTGGAGCGAGAGCTTCAGGCGGTTATGAGCCTTCATATGTAGATACTGGGAATTGAACTCAGGTCCTCTGCAAGAGCAGTACACACTCTTAACCACTAAGCCATCTCTGCAGCCTGCCCAAGTCTTTTTAACATACCTCTCTGTCTTTCCTGGGTGTGGCACAGAGGTAATGAACACATTTGCGACCTCAAATTCCTTGAGTTCAAACATTGGTTCAACTTTTCATCTTGTATAAACTTAGGTCATTCACCCTTTCCAACCCTGGGATTTGGTTTTCTTCATATAAAATGGGGGCACTGATGACAGTATTTACCACATAGTATTATAAAGGAGAGTGGCGATGGTAATGGTGGTGAAGAACAAGAAAATCTGCAAAAGGCTTAGATGTAAGGGCTTAGTAATGTCAGCTGTTTCTGGGAAGCAGCTTGAGCTTTTTCATATATACCCCTCCTCCCTTTACCCCATGTAAGCTGTCCGCAAGTTCTCAGGACTCTATCTCGTCTGCCTGTGTGTCTGTCTGTCTATCTATCTATCTACTTATCTACCTCTCTGTCTGTCTACTTTTTACCTTTTAAGGTATATTTTATTTTTACGTATATGACTGTTTTGCTTACATAGGTACCCATGTATGGAGGTCCGAAGAGGGTATCAGATCCCCTGAAACTGGAGTTACAGGTGGTTGTGAGCCACCTTGTATGTGCTGGGAACCAAACTCAGGTCCTCTACAAGAGCAACAAATGCTCTTAACTGCTAAACCATCCTTCCAGCCCCAATTTTGTTTTTGTCTTGTTTTTTTCAGATTTTGTTTTTAAGCAAAGTCTTGTGTAGCCCAGGCTGGCCTCAAATTTCATATATAGCCAAGGGTGACCTTGGAGTTCTGATCCTCCTGCCACTTCCTCTCAGTGCTGAGATTGCAGGCTTGCACTGCCTCGCCAGTTTATTCAGTGGTGGAGATGAACCCAGAGCTTAGCGAACACTAGAGTGCTCTACCAGCTGGGCTACATCCCAGCCCAGGTCTTAGTCTTCACACGTATTCCCAGTCTGATATCTGCCTGGCCATACGACCACCAGTCCAGACCGCCAGCGTCTCCCACCTCAGTCGTACAAAAGCCTCTTCCCTAACCTTACTGATGTTAGCCATGTCCTTCAAAATCTGCCCATCACACAGTGGAGACACACAGTGTAGACCAAGTTGACCTCAAACTCAGTGATCTGCTCAGATTCCCCAGTGCTTAGGTTAAAAACCTGTGCCATGACATTTGACCTATTTTTTTTTTTTAACTAAGGGGCTAGAGAGATGGCTCATCAGTTAAGAGCACTGCTTGCTCTACCAGAGGTCCAGGATTCAATTCCCAGGACCCACCTAGAAACTTACAGTCTTCTGTAACTCCAGTCCATGGGATCCAATGCCCTCTTCTAGCCTTGGGGAACACCAGGCATGCATGTGGTGTACAGACCACATGGAACATAGACATATATGCAGACAAAATACCCATACACATAAAATAAATATTTTTTAAAACCATCAATATAGGACCGGCAAGATGTCTCAGTGGTTAAAAGGTCTTGCTGCAGAAGTCTACTACTGATGAGCGTTCAGTCCCCAGGACCCACAGTAGATGGACAGAATCAACTCCACAGGCACAGCATAACACAGGCATGCCTGCATCCACACACACGTAATACATACACACAAATAACTAAAATAATTTTTAAGACCATTTTAATTCTAGAGGGCTGGGGCTTGCCTAGCACGCATGACGCCCAGCTTTGATCCCCGGCACCACATATGCCAGACATTATAGCACATGCCTATAATTTTAGCATTTGGGAGGTGGAGGCAGGAGGATCAGAACCTCCTTGGAGCAAGTGGGCGAAGCCTGAAGATTTCAGGGGTCCTTGTGAACCCCAACCCTTCAGCTCCGGGCGTTTGCACATCCAGTCCCACCCACCCCACAAGTGATCTTATGGCTGCAAAGAGAGTTCAATTATTACCCCTTTATTGATCTTAAATAAATTACGGACCCATTCTCACTCCCCTCCTAGATAGTTCTTTGATTGCTGAGGGTGCAGGCAGTGGCTGAGCAGGAAGGGGCAGCTAGGTGAAGATTTGCAGGAACTCTTTAGACCAGCTATGTCTGGGTCTCTCCTTAGGGGAACTGTGCCGGAGCCTCCCCTTGGGGCTGTGATGGGGTCTCGCATGGTGACCTTGCTGGTTCCTCTCTAAGTGTCGGCTCCTCTCAGAATGACTGCTTCTGCTGTCAGAGGGGCTGTAGTGAGTTCTCTGAGAATGGCTGCGGTGGAGTCCGGAAGAAGGCCTGTGGAGCCTGGACCTAGAGGGACTGCGGTAGCCTCTTTCAGAAGAACTTTGCCTTGTCCTGCCAGAGCATCTGGAAGGGGGTATCTCAGAGAGAGTACTATGGCTCCATTCTGAAGGACTGGCCCATGTCCTCTGGATGGGACTGAGATGGCTCCTTTTGGAGGGGCTGCAGCATCTCTGATAAGGGGGACTGTGTTGGTTCCTCCCATAAAGACCAAGCCAACCCTTGGGGGAGGGATTACGTCCCCTTCTCTCTCGAGGGCTACTACTACGAGGGCTCCTCCCTGAGGAACTGCGAGGCCTTCTCCCAGAAGGGCTGGGTTGGCTCCTCCCTGAGGGACTGCGACCTCTCCCCTTAGAGAGCCTGGGTGGGCTCCTGTCAGAGATACTCTGAGGGGTTCTTCTAGAGGGACTGCCATCCTTCCTCTGGGAGGGACTGCGACATCCCCTCACTGAGAGGCTGCTAAGGGTTCTGTCAGAGGGACTCCTAGGCTTTCTCTGAGGACTGTGGTGTGTCCGAAGAGATCTCTCAGACAGGCTGTGATAGGTCCTGTGTTGTTCTTGCTCGTGTTTGAAGTGACTCTGCATGGTTCTCTTCAGAAGGGAGTCAGGCACGAGTGTCTCTTGGACCTGAAATTTGGCTCCTACTTTAGAACAGTTCTTAGACTCTGG